GACGAAAAGCTGTTAAAGACTTCTTCTTCTTTTTGTGTTTTGCAGTTTACATTCGGGGTTACCGGGACTAAATGACTGCTGCGGTCGCTGTTCGATGATATGCCAGCATGCAAATCGTCATAATCGAGCATATCACCAAAGGACTGGCAATATCAAGAAATCAGATGACAGCTGTACGCATATTGAACTTAAAGCACTGATGTCGAAGGTAAGGCAGTTAAGCTTCTAAAAAAATAAATCATGAAGTTTACAACAAGAATAACAACTGTCAACAGGTAGTACCCCCAAGTATTCTTTTGGCCAAATACTGCTGACAACCAAGTTTCACTTTCAACATCCATCTCATGTCCCATTATAGCCATAAAGAAAGCTGCACAATGAAATACTCTCGCTGCAAAACATAAATGCAACAAAATTGTATTCAAGCTAACTGCGCAGCAGGTGCAATAGTCTTGCTGTTTCAAAAAAACCCCTTCTTGCGCTGATATTAAATTTTTTGACAGAGTAAATTCATTTAATTTTGGAACTATCGTTACTTGTTCACAACGTGGTGGAAGTCCTTTAGTATATCAATTCACTGAACCTACGAAAAAGTATCACAATAATCAGAAAACCATCCAAACACTAATACTGTGCTACCACGCCAAATAGATATAATGTCTACCATACGAAAACTCACGTAGTGTATTAAGTAATAGCAGTAGTCGTCGTCGCACACATAAATGCTCAGAATGACTTAGCAAGATAAAACCACTGAGTACTGTGTTCCAAAAAAGTAAAAATAAAAGTAAATAATGTAATGTTGAAAATATTGACAATGATAAAAATAAAAATAATGACAATAATAATAATAATAATAACAATAATAATAATAATAATAATAATAATAATAATAATAATACACTAATAATAGTAATAATAATAATAATCGTAATACTAAGAATCTAATAACAATAACAATAATAATAACAACAACAATAACAATAACAACAACAATAACAATAGTAATACGACTCCTGGAAGGCATAAAACGTCAGACCATTAATTTGTTAATGTTGAAAAAGCTTTAAAAAAATTTACGTTTGCTGTTTAGGTAATCACCAAAGACCCGGATGAATCAAAGCGTGCAATATTACATTCAGCTGAAGAAACACTTGGTGGGCAGTTCCATGTCATCTGTTCAAAAGATGACTTCTCATATATTACAAAGAGCAGCACTTATTGTCAAATTACCGAAAATGATTTGACTTGCTATGCTTTCCAAACTCCCAAAATTGTTAGTAACTAGAACTACTAACAGCCGACTTACTGTTAAGCAATCGTTAAGACTTTATAAATCTTCCCCCCCCCCTCCCCTATCAACACAAAAAAATTCTGTACCAAACACTCGTCCCTCTTTTTCCAGTTTACTCTGTAAGTAATTTAAACGTGTCGTTTCAAAAGCCGTCTTCTAAGATGCTCTCAATAAATGCTAAATAGCTTCTCTGCAAGTGCACCTCACCAAATTTCAATTTATCTTGATGCTGCTGCACATTTAAAGTCCCTACAGATTACACTGAATCAGGATGTAAAGTTTTATTTGTTTCTCAAGAATAATAAATGAAACCAGATGTAAACATAAAAATCAGGATCTTACAGTAACTCATCTACGCAAAGAAATCCCTTCAAAAAAAAAAAA